TAATTTTAAAGTGCGATGAGATCATTAAGTATAATTATTAAATACGGATTACTCTCCTTTCAGAGAAAAACGCGCAGATGCACAACCAAAATCCAGGACAGGTATTGAGGCGAGTAATTGTCCGATTATATCGTAACATACATTTTCTTCCAAAAATATCAACAGTTCGCTCGAGGAAATTGCATGGACGCATTTACTAAGCGTAAACGGGTGATCTACCTGAGGGGACCGGACAAGCAAGGAAAATGAGTAACGTATAAAACTGCCTAAAATCTCTCATATCACCTTCTGTTATCAGATTTCGTAAGGTATATCACTTAGTGTAATTGCGCTGTTTCCTGTATTTTCCTAAAATGAAACATACTGTAATTTATTCAGAAAATAATGCCCTTGCAGGAGAATAATTTTGGCCGGTCGTATATTAAAGAAAGTGTCAAAAGGAGAGTTATCTTTCGTTTGCCAAAATTCGAGTTTACATTTTCAAGGAAGGAATAAGATTTGGAAATGACAATTTGGCCTTATTAACATAAGAATCGGTTGTCAGCGGAGGCACAATAATTTATTTTCGTGAACTTATTTAAACCATCTTTGCGCTTTTCGTTATTGACTAATAAAAAAGTGCCTAGATTGAAGAGGATCATAAAGAGAAGTCAGTCTTGTCTATAATAAATACTATGTTCAACCACCAGTTCCTCATCGTACGCAGCGGATTATCTAACTCCACAAAAGCTCGCACATTAGTACAGTAGGTGGGCTGACTCATGAAATGTTAACTGAAATCCCAAAATGCGTTTTGGTTTTCAAAAGTTTTACTAAGAAGTGTTGTAAAGCTAATCATTCTGCGGAGTTATTATACAAAAATTCGGTTACGTCAGGATGCGGGCTTCTGAATGAATTCTATTTCCGGCCGCGTGTTAAAACCACATTGAAAAAATTGATTACACAAGTAGCATACATTTTCCTCATTGGCTTTCCGTGCCCTTAAAATTCAATTATATTTCATGTAAAACATGTGTAAAAAAATTCATTCTTTTACTCATTCGGTAAAAAATCACGACTTCTTCCAATGTTATATTTGACGAAAGGGTATAATTCGGTTTTCAGAGACGTTTCCAATTTTCTAAGATTTCTGTACCCGACCTGCCATTACACTTGCATTCAAAGTTTATTTACTACTAGTCGTGTATTTTCCGAGTATGGAAAACTATACATTTCTCTAGAATATTAAATGCAGATTATATGAAGTTCATAAAATTTAGCAGTGGATTTGAGCCGTATCGTAAACTTTACAAGACGCATTGGCAAATAAAGAGACATGACGTTAAATGGACGGTCAATTCAGCGTATTAAAAAGTCTCAACCTTAGCAATTTTTTGAAAACCGAATTGCAACCTTCCTTTGAATATAAGATCGGAAGAAGACTTAGTTTTCCACTGAATGAGCAAAAGGATAAACACTTTTATCATGTTTTCCATGAAATATTATTGAATTTTTAAGGGCATCGAAAATCACTGAGGAAAATGCATGCTACTTATGTATGCTTTTTTTACAGAGTGCAGTGTTTGCGTGCAGTCGGAAAGAAATTTTTTCAGAAGCCGGTATTCTGATGTAACCGAATAATTGTACAGATATTACGCATGATTATTAGCTTTACAGTATTACTTAATTAATCCTTTCGAGACGAAAAATTTCAGTTGACAGTTCACGGCTTAGCCCACCTACTGTGGGTACTGTCACAAGACTCAAGTTCGCGGAGACGTGACCACTGAACCTCTGTGAAGTCACCCTGACCGAATGATATCACAAATCTTCCTAACCGCAATAATCTGAGTGTTATTGTTGACCAACCACATTACACTGTGTGTGCATTCAGTCCATTTTTGCTCGTGAGGCACAGTCAGACGGGTAAATGCGAACCGGTAACAATTGGGAGATGGCACCTTAAAATCCGTTACTTAGAAAGAATACCTTTAACAGTAGACTCAAGCGCCTTCAGGCTATATCAGTGGTTGCAGGCCTACCTTCACGGACTACTTGGACTTTCCCCGACGGTCTAACGTGGGCTGACCGAACGAACATCGCAGGAGGTTACATGGACGATGGTCGCTTTTACCCAGCCATCCCCATCGTTACATACATACACCTGAATATACGGCATACATTTGCATTATGACAGTTTATTACGATACAAAATCACCTTTACATAGGATACCTCTGCACAACATGGGACAGGAACAGTTTCCAGGCAACTATCAAAGACATGGCATTGAGACCAAACCAAATACGATAATGTACTTCTTCTATGTGAGCCCACACATCTCGACCACATGCAGGGTCTCTCTGGTGGAGTTTCCTTTTCAGTCTACTCCAGTATGCCTCAATGGCATTTGTGTGCCGTCCGGTGGTAGGGTCCTTGAAGTTCTTTGAGTGGTTAACAGAGGAATGTCGATAACCTTCTGATCGAAGACGATTATACGCCTTCCACGCGTCCGTTACCACTATACTGCTTTGGCGACCCATTTTGTAATAACGGAACGGAGAGCGGGCCAACTTCGATCAATTACTTGTTCAAATAAGGCTTTCCGTCGGCTAGTATCGTACATCTCGACCAGCCACCACCCATAAAACTCCTATTACCACCTGTACCGTAAGACGGATGCTTTGGTTAGGCGGATTTTTTTGGGTGCCATTTCCCGATTGTTACCATGCGAACCTTATGCTAAATTTTAGGGAGGAACTCTTGTCAAGTACTACGGTAGAAATGCGATCTGATGGACTGTTGACTGAAACTGCAAAATGTTTTTTTTTTAATTCCTGAAGTCAACTTAAATGGGGTTGTCATCTTACTTACCACGTCACATAACGTTAAGATAATTCAGTTACGTCAGGATGAGCCTCTTATCGACCGACTGCATAAATTAAATTCTGGTAAAACTGCTACTCACATAGCATAAATTATTCACACTGACTTTTGATACTTTTGTTTTACAGAAAATATTAACAAAATATTTGTTTTTTATTCATTTGGTAGCACAACCACTTATTCTTCAAATCGTTTACTTGAAAAAAGAGTATTCTTCGGTTTTGAAAGTTTTGCTTTTCCGAAACAATTTTGAAGACGACCTGCCGTTAAACTTTCCAGACTACAAGCTATATACGCTGTACGCAAGGAAGGTCCCACTTTCCTACATTCCATTTCGAAGAACATATTTGGGGTTAATCAAACTTCATAATGAATATATACCCCGTTGTCTACTTTGTAGGCAGGATAAGTAAATGTGTTGATGCGATAGTATATGACTGGACACACCCAAGTTTTGAAAACTACCAAAATAAGGAACATTTTTAAAACCAAACGATGCTCCGTTACGAGCAGAAAATTTGAACACGTAATTTGCTACAAACAAGTAAAAAGGAAATTTTCGTGCATATATTCCACGAAATATTTGTGTATTTATTTGAACAATAAACGCCAGTTGGAAAATGTCATACTGCTTAAATAGACATTTTATGCAATTTACTTTTCGCAGATGGTCGATAAAAAAGCTGGCATATTAGTATACCTTATTTAAACAATTAGGAAAATTGTTAATTCTCTTATAAAGAGGTAAGCCGTCAAAAAAGGTTTTTCAGTTAATTCTGGAATTGTGTAATGATCGTAAGACAAAAAAAGCATTCTGATTCGCGTCATAGTCATTTCCAGTATTTCATAATTTTTGCCATCCTTTCGATGGGTTAGTTTAGGTGACAGCGTTCGATCGAAACCCCATGCCAAAGCGAAACTTCCATCTTCTTCGGGCAATCAGGTTGGATCGGCAATCATCGCAGCAGCGTTGTGTTATTCTCATTAACAACTTCGTTAGTGTTTAAAGGCGCAATTGGGGCACAAAGGCATGTGCCAACAAAACATTTAGCGACAAAGCAGAACATTTAGTTTGTATTAAGGTTGAAATGTCACGTGTGGTTGCCCAAAAATTATGTTTTCTAAGAAAAAATATCACGGTATATGCAAATAGCTGGAGAAAATCAAATTAAAACTGTATATTTTTGTGTTGATTTCTAGCTGGTCGTTTTCAATCAGTCGCAAATGAATGCAAAACAGTACTTTGCCCATAGGTGTCTCCAGGGAGACCGTCGGCAATTTATAGGAGTTTCGCGTGATATGAAAAATTTCACGAAGTCATGCCTGGTTAAACAAACATTGTTTTCATTTTACTCTTCATCTACATTATCCATTTGTGAATGCGAATTTTTTTTGTCTTGCTGAGTGCATCCAGTTAATGAAATAACTCATGAAATGTGTCAAAATTTACGAATGAGTGCCAATCATTTGCACAACCGGCAGCATTTCATGAATCCGATTTATATGTTAAATGAGTAAAAGTTTAAAAGAATTAAAAACATAGAGGAAATGTTAAAGGCAGTGTTTCGTTGTTTAGAAATGCCGATTTATTTTGAAAAGCGCAATATCCCGAAGACGTCAGAAAGGGCTCTAATTTAATAAAGTCCGTTTTTAGATGTATAGAATGTAGCCTCATATCAAAGACATGGTAAATATGCACGTAGACATAAAATAACGTCTAATAACAGTGTTTTGATGAAATTTACGTATAAAAATCGTTTAACAAATAGTGGGATTTCATATATGACGGTTGGCCAACTGCCTACATTCTGAATGTAGATTCCAAAATAGTTTTCCAGTGATTCCTGTTCTATTTTATTTCTTTGAAGTAAATGGGATAAGATTCGACAAGAGAAGCTGGATTTTGCTTGATTTCACCGATAGGGATGTTTTAGGAACAACATTTTTATTGAAGAAGAAGACACGATTGCGGGGACAAGAGATTTATTAGCCTGACATTTCGGATTCCTGCTCGAATCTATCATCAGAGACATAAGCTGATAAAAGGGTGGTTCATGCACATGCGGCTGCAGTATTTATAATATGCAGTAGCCATGCTACCGCGTACCTATGAATATTCACGGCTACCTCCCCTTCATCAGGGATCGTTGCACGTGGCATGATGGCCGACATTCGCGTCCTTAATTGCTGCAATTTCATCACGTGCGTTGGTTGTTGGTGTGATGATTGATCGACCATCTGAAGTACCGACCCTGGTTTTGGGACAAGTGTTCACATGTGCGCTCCCGGCATGGCCAATTACTCCACCTAGCCGAAGTCTCAGCACGCTGTATTGAATGGGAAGATCATTGCACTTGTTAAGAGACTGGGGGCCAGTAAACCATGATTCAAGCAGCTCCCGGCTCACGCGGTTGTCACCTCTTGCGAGAATTTCGGCCTCGTCAAATTTGAATGTGTGGCTGGGACCCGTCGAATGAGCCGCAACTTGAGGACTGGCGTCATTTCTCCGCACCGCTTCAGCATGTTCGGCCATTCGCTTTCGGAGCTGTCTTCCGGTTTCTCCGACGTAGTTGCTTTGTCCGCAACTGCACCAGATCCGATAAACGACTCCAGACTTTTTTTGCCCTGGCAGTGGGCCTTTTGGTTTCATCAACTGACGCCTGATGGTTGCCTCCGGTCTGTGTGCAACTCCAACCCAAAGTGGTGCGAGAAGGCGGCCAACAGCTTCCGAAATGTTCTTGACATATGGAAGCGCTCGCCAAACCTTAATGTCCGTGCGGTTAGGCCTTTCGTCCCTTTTGCGTATGCACCGGTTGACAAAGTTGCGCGGGTAGCCATTGTCTTTGAAGACCCGTCGGAGGTATTGTATTTCGGCAATTTTGTCTTCCAGCTCACTGCAGTGCGTTTCGACACGCCGATAGAGCGTCCCTACACAACTGCGTTTGTGACTGATTGGGTGGTTACTGTTGAAGTTCAGTGCTTGCATCGTATTTGTCGCTTTCCTGAACACTTTGGTTTTTAGTTCATCACAATCTTTGCGGCTTACGAGGACATCCAGGAAGGCCAGCTGGTTGTTCTCTTCCTCCTCCATCTTAAATTGTATGTCGGAGAAGACCGCATTCAGACGTTCCTTGAATGTCAGCAGTTGATCCCGATCGATAACTACGAAGGTATCATCCACATCCTGGGTCCAGAACTTCGGTTTGTGGTGTTGGAAGACCAGCGACTCTAACCGCTGTAGAACCGCCTCGGCGATGAATCCCGAGATCGGCGAGTCCATTGGTGTGCCCTTCACCTGTTCGTAGATTGTCCCGTCGAACGTGATGTACTCCCTGAGACAGAACTTCAGGAGCTGAAGGACTTAGGCGCGTCCAAGACGATTCTCCGTTTCATTGTATCTGCTTTGTAGAAGCGGTTCGATTTTCTCGATCGCAAGGTCCTGGGGAATAGAAGTACAACGGGAAGTAACATCATAGGATACCATGACCTCATTTGGATGGAGGCTTACCCCTTCGAGTTTCTCCAGGAATTCTGCTGACGAAGAGACCGTGGTGTCTGACTCAGCGGTCAGGAACTTGAGACGCCGGAACAGCCACTTAGCCAGTCCGTACGTTGGAGTCCCTTTGAGCGACACGATGGGTCGGAGAGGAGCGCCGTCGTTGTGCACCTTAGGGAGGCCATAGAATCGGGCCAAAGCCGTATCTTGGGGTCTCGCCATGCGTCTGTCGGTCGGTGTTATTGCACCTGGGTTCTCCAAGGCCAACAACGTAGAATTAATTTCGCGTGTCAGCGCCTTTAATGGGTTCGTTGCACATGGGACATAGAACTGTCGGTCCTCCAGTAAACCTTAAGCTTTTTGAAGGTAGTCTGTTCTGTCCAGCACAACCTTGGAGCGCCCCTTGTCCGCTGGCACGATGACGAAGTCTTTGTCGGCCTTGAGCTCTCTAAGCGCATCACGTTCGACCTTGGAAAGCACTTCCCGCGGCCTGTGGGCCATTAGGAGAGACGACACTTGGTGTAGGATGAGACTCTTCGTTTCCTCCGCTGCCTCCGTCTGACTAAGGATAGGTTCCACTGATGCAATCATGTTAACAGGTTTGGCGTCAGTCGTGTTAAATGAAGCTTCGTGCCTTAAAACCTGCATCAGATCCTTCGTCAGCTCCTTTGATGACAGGTTGTGCACCCGTTTGTCGTTTCTGGGCGACGTTGGATTGGGCAGCTTTTGAAATTTGTTCTCCAGTGCTGCGTCGCGTATCGTGCTCTGTTCGCGGGCTTGTTCAGCTATCCTCCGCCGAAGCAGATTCGTACCGATCTCACCCATGAACTTACAGCATCTGGTCTTTTCTTGGTCAATCCTTTGACGGTACTTGCGAAGTCTCGCGTGGCAATCTCTAGGAGCACTCTGATCATCCTTCTGCCATGTTGAAATACTGCTCGTCTCGCCAAATCTGTGTTAACCGGAGGCTTGTATGAAACACACTTCGGCAATACGTTATTGTCGAGACACCTGTGCAGAAACCGGATCTGCGAATACGTGGAGGCCTCCCGAGGGACAGAGGTTTCCCATCGCCGGGCCGATCGGAGAGCATCGCGCCCAAATACATTACCAATAGAAGCGAAGAGACGAGTCCGAGGAAATAGTCTTGAAGATCATTTTTCATAAAGTGACATGGTATGAGGCCGCCTTTAGACTCCGCTCTTCGATTATGAATGCTCGGTAGAGCGCCCATATAAATACTGATATTTTGCTGAAAATATAAACGGCCAGAAAAAATTATTCGACAGTCGGCATAGGTAAGAAGCTTAGTAGGATCCAGGACCTATGTCTCGGTAGCGAGTAGCTAGACAGTTTTACTGCAGCAAAATATTATGCAGACAACAGCAAGATCTACAGGACTGGCAGCGGAAAAGACAGATTTGTTTGACAATGCCCCAGTTAATGGGACCGTGCCAATGAACTCCTTAGAATTAGCCCTGAGTGAACGGTTCCACAGATCTTCCCAGCGGTAAGAATACGTGTTTTGTTTTCGACCAACTACATTGTACTACAGTTTGTGTGCATTTGGTCCTTAACTTGCACCTATGGCGCAATTAACATTGGGTCTCATGAGTCAGCACCAGTCCAAAAGACTTAGAGGACGCCTCACGGTATGGCTTAAAAAGGCGAACACGCATAAACGGCGCCATTCGCGTTTGGTTCCGGACATTGTATGAACCCCAACGAAGATCTCGCAACAAATTACTTTAAAGTTGCGAAAATTTCCATAACAGTAATCAGAAGACGAGGTGACCAACATACGTAGCCTTCGATAAATTCTCTTCAGGCCAGTATATTTATATGGGAAGGGGGTAGTAGTTAAAAAACGTCAGTGATAAGATAAATCGATGAAAGATCGCCTTAAAGCACAGGCTGGGTGTGGGAATGTGGGGGAGGGGGGGGGAGATTAACAGCAGTCAGTGTCAGGGGCGGGGTGAGAACGGAAGAGCTCGGGGGAGTTGTAGCGTTAGTCGACCTTCGAGCATTGTAGGCGCGGAGCCTGGACGTGGTTCTTCTGCGGGCACAAGATCGGTTTTCGCAACTTGATGGAAGCCGCCTCTGCTGTCGTTAACAGGCGCTGTCCCAGTGGTTTAGGATAGCTCGATGGGACTTTATAGATCACACGAAACGCTTCATTGGGGTCTACGTGATGTCCGGAATTGACAACATGCGCGAGAATGGCGCTACTTATGCTCCACGTTTCGCCTTTTCCCGGCCACGCCAGGAGGTGTTCCCGTATTCTCTTGGATAATCGCCGACTCGTGCGACTAATAAAACCTGCTCCGCAGGAGCAAGTGAAGGAATAGATGCGCATTGAAGTGGTCTGGGGTGACAACTTATCCTTACCTTCCCCGTGTAAAACAGGGTTAGTAGAGAAGGATACTTGAACCCTTGCCGCTGGGAAGGTTCACGAGACAGCTTGATCAAAGCGTCTCTTTAGGAGTTCACTTACAGCGTCCCCTTAAAAATGGACGTTAAGGAACATAGTTTTCTTTTCGGCAGTCGGTGTGGCGGGTTTTAACGGTCGTTCGGCCATATTCTTTGCAATAAACCTGTCCGGGTACCCGTTTTAACGAAGGAAGTCATGGATTTTTCTAACTTCTTCCTCGATGCTATCTGTTGGGCAAAACGTTCCTTCCCGTATAAATGTACTGGCCCGAAGAGAATTTATCGAAAGCTACGTATGCTCGCCACCTCGTCTTCAAATTAATTTAAGTCGCTGGGTCAGCGTCTGCCATCCGGTATCCAGCTGGATATTCCCCGAGGTTCCATCTTGAAAGAATGTCTGGCCATAAAACAGCCGTGCCTATCCGCTGGCAGACATTCCAGTTATCCCTCAATTCGTTTTTAGTTTCCCCACTCTCAGATGCAGTTGTCAATCATTAGCACTTAACTATATCCCGCAAGTTCATACGTCAGCTGACGATCCACCGTCAACCGACAGCTAAATGGGGTCCTTCGCCCTACCGTTACCATTCTACTCGCCCTCCTACCCTTCTCCCACCTTCATCGCTTCTTATTAACACCTCCACCTATATTCCCAAGACCCACCAGTCTGGAAAGACGAAACTTTGATCGATTTATTATATCATTCACATGTCCTGCTTGTAACCTGTTCGCGGACAAACGAAGTGGTCTCATGGGGATTTGTCCCAAGCAAACCTATGTTTGTGGACTAGGCCTCTGACTGTTCCCATGAAAATTCTGCAACTTGAGGAATTGTTTCCAGTGCAAAAATGACAAAATCTGCGGTAAATAGCAGATCGGCAAACAAATTGCATAGTTTTACTAAAAAATGAGGTACATAAATTGTATAAATAAGTAGTTTAAAACCACAAGGATTTAAAGCGCTTACCAATATACGCGGATATTTGTGCGGATCTACTAGGCAATCTGGTCGACTTAACACCTTTGTAATTAACAATTAAAAATCCGATGGTGAATGTGCGCGGATATTATTGAGAGTTTCCCAAGGTTTATCCGAACAAAAAACTTTTGGGAAAGTTTTAATTCATTTCCAAAATTATTAGTTTGTTTGACTCACTTAAACAGAAGCCTTTTGATGATGACGTGTAAGTTTACAACCATGACGAAAAATAATCAAAGGTGGCATTAATGGTAGGAAGTAGACACCTTGAAGGCTGTCCAAATGAGCGATAACACAAAAACCTTAACTCTCATCTCAATGCAGGTCCATCCGCACGCCTGTTCTCTGGCATGTAAAGTTCTGAAAAACTTCGTTTTCGCTTAAATACGACAATGAAACCCCTTTAAATGCATCCTGTTTCCGCGAAATGATCCCTCCTGTCATTCGACCATGCATTTGTGGCAGTTACCGACTGGTGATTAACCAAGGAGACCGATCAGCAGATGATGACAAAGGTATGTTTACAGAGTTTGCCTGAGCTAACTCAAACAGCGTGAGGCCCGGTGGACTATTTGAACGACTAACCGACCACGACCGCGTTGGAACGTTGGGCTTCCCGAACCCCTTTCAGCTAAGGCTTGCTGACAGTTTCATATAAACTGGAAATAAACTGGTTGGTTGGGTGCGTGAACATATGCCCGCCTGGCTAGACAGAGGTGAGACCCGGTCGATTTCTAGTTCTATTGTCGCGCATTTAATCGATACGAACCACCGAGTCGATGTCAAGAAAGCATTTCAGGTTGTCTACCGGACACCAACATGCTTCTCTAAAGGCCTACGCCAACGGATACTAGTAACGGCAGAGGCAGTAGCTATACGGTTAGTGAATCCGGTGTTACACTGTCATAAAACCCTGACACAAGCGTTCTCTCTGTCGTGGCCAACGCCAACCCCAAGTGATGAAGCCATGCCGCCTCAAATCCCTAATCATGATGATGGGTACTCCGTGTACTCAACCCAAGATCATTACTCAAAGACTATCTTACCCCCCTCCCCTAGCCCTGACGAATAACACCCGCCGACCTTCTCATGCGGGCGGCGTGGGATGAAGAGTGTTAGTGACTTAATAGCCCTTGAGGCATCTATAAACACTGTTGATTTTGTACATTTTCATTCGTTCATGTAATTGTATTGGCCTGAGGAAGAATTACCGAAAACGTGCGTTCGCCAACTTGACTCTTATATTTCTCGATTTTGTGCTGACTGAAGATGCATAGTTTTCGCCTAAGGCGTCAATGACCTCTCAGCTGATTTTTTCTGCTTCGCACCCCATTTGCTTGTTATTCTATGTCTGGGAAATGTGATATTTTTAGAATAAATGAACACGCCAGAGGCGAAATTTGGAATCTCATTACCTCCAGTAGTCCGCTACTTTGGCAAGTCATTACTATGCAGTCCTTCCTAGATCACTTTTGGAGACAGAAAGAGTCTGACGGACTGGAAAACCGAATTGCCCAAAGTATGATTCAGTGTGACATTTTTATTCTCGTGGTGTGAGCCAGACTACCAAAACATTCTGATCATTTAGCTAGAGCAGTGAGCCAAAGAATTCTACTCGCTTATAGGAGAATTAAGTCCGGTATTAACACCCCAAAGAAAGAAGTGTGTTTCGAGTTAATGAGGAGTTATGTAGTTTCTGCAAAGGCATGTAGTTAAAGGGTGGGAAATATGGTCTGGGCGGGGCAAACGGCAAAAAATACAAAAAAATCACAGCACAAATGGACGAGCCTAACTGGTAATTTTAATTTTACAAAACTTACCACCAATCAGCATTCGTGATACACTGGATAGGGCAGTATAACAGCTGCATCCGATTGGAGTGCTATGTAAAGACATCATTAGTTAGAAGAGAGTGAGTTTGATAAGTGACTGGAAAAAAATCCCCCTTTATGATGGCAAGATGGAAACTTGAGAACCTTACCAATATTTACCTCATTTGAGCATTTCAACACTCTTCCTAGTCTGTAAATTCATTGACTAAGGAGTCAGTGGTTGCGCATTACAGAGAGAGGAAGGATATACAAGATTGGTTTGGAGGAAGTCCACAGTATGTATCTCGAAAGTCCTTTAAATAAATCAAAACGCACTTTCTAGGTATTAGGTAATCGGATAAGAACGTTGTGCATCGAGAAACGCCCTTCTCGCAACCGCAACATTTGAACAGAGAGCAATTCTTCTAAACTATGAGTTCATAAAATTTCTCTTGTACCTCTGACTCAGAAGGCATGGGTTATGACTTAGGAATTTATAAGAGCATTAAAATCAATTGGAATTTGTGCGCTGCATATACAAGTATTATTTGTGCGTATGTGGCAGATTAGACGTTCATATAAAACGGTGGCGGTAAACGAGAAAG